AAAAAAAAAAAAAAAAAAAAAAAAAAAAAAAAAAAAATGTAGTTATCTTCTTAACTACAGTGTTTAACACGTGTAGTTCCTCTAGTCTGTTTCTGACCCCAGTGGGCTCTGACTACCAGCCAGTGCTCACCTACACCCCGCTGTCCTCTCTCTACCAGCCAGTGCTCACCTACACCCTGCTGGGTTCTGTTCACCAGCCAGTGCTCACCTACACCCCGCTGGGCGCTGTCCACCAGCCAGTGTTCACCTACATTAGCATCTTGGTTAAGCAGATTTTGTGGAACCACAAGTCTTAGAAGTCATTGTAAAGGATCCATTTTTCTGAGATACATCAGCTCAGGAAAATGCATATGGAAGGCTTTTAAGAAGCTACATTTTCTCCTTCCCAAATTAAAGCAGAATTGTTAAGCCCACTAGAAAAATCTTAAATTTGATCAGTATATCACCTACTGAAATACTAGAAAAGTTGTTATAAAAATATTGCCTCAGAGAAACTTTCTGGTCTTTTGTTAATTCAGTTACTGCACGGTGTTAAATGATAACACATAGTCACAGGCTTGACTTCCTTTCTCAGCACAGCTACCCAAAGGGGCTTTACCATTATTACTGTTCCCAAGCCACAGATGGGAAACAGGGACTGAGGGGAAACGCCTTTTCTAGGAGCAAGCGGGGAATTAACAACATAGTTGAGTCTAGAAATAGTTCATTCCCTTCAGTGTAAAATTTTCACGATTACATACATGTTAAAGAGTATGGAAATGAGTTACTGAGCACAAGGAATGTGCTGCTTTGTGTTCCCATTTCCTCTTCTGATGCCTGTGGGGTCTTCTCTCTGTTCCTCTTTATATTTGAGGTGCAAAGGATGACGCTTGGAGCTGAACACCAAAAAGCCGTAACTACTTACTTCGTCATCTGTCGCTCGGTGACTTCCTGGTCTCCTGTGCTTTCTGTCTGCTCTCATGAAGTAGTCCCCTCACTCTGCCCAAGAGCCTGTTAACACTGTTAGGCAGACCAAGAAGTAGTTCTGAGGGGCATTCTTCCAGTTCCTTCACTTTCCCCAAGTTTAAGTCTGTGGGTTGTATGTAGATTGAAGGCCGCACTGGGTAGCATTGGGAGTGCATAGCTCGCTCCTGAACAGTGCTTCCACTGATAAAAGTGTAATTATGTTGCTTATGAACAAACTTTCTCTTTTACTTCCTAGGTAATATGCATGTGTCACTAGCAGAGGCCCTGGAGGTTCGGGGTGGACCACTGCAGGAGGAAGAAATATGGGCTGTATTAAACCAGAGTGCTGAAAGTCTCCAAGAATTATTCAGAAGAGGTAAGTCATGTTTTAAAACGTGTTTTATTTTGCATGTTGAGTAGCTGGAAAACGGTAACCAATAGTAAATTGCATTTCAGTGTCAATAGTCTTGGTTTTGGTAGAGTATAGAAAGAAATGCCTAGTCATATGCTTCTCAGGGCTGGAAAAGTTCAATTTGCTTGCATTAATTTGAACACAGTGCATATGCCTGCCACAGCACCAGTCACTGGAAGCAAAGTGATTCTCAAATAAGAGCACTTCCTGTTTGTGGGGAGCTGATGTTCCTGTGCAGAAAGTAACTATTAATAAAAGACTGATAGAAGCAGCTGTTACCGTGACAGGCTTGTGAAGCGGGGCCTTCGGTGACTCTGAGGTCACAACGCAGGGAGAGTGGACGTGGGTGGAAGGGAGAAGAAGGTCGGCCATGCATTAAGTTTTGTAGCAGGAATCTTAAAAGTTCTTATTAATAAAATCAAACCCGAGGCCAGTTATTGGGGTCCATGCTGGTAGATCAGAGAGACAGAACAAGCCACAGCTATCTCACCTCGCCGGATCCTCAGCTGGTCTTGTCTCCTCAGACTGGAGGTCTCTGAGTCCTCATCTGGAATGGGTCTCAGCTGAATTACTGCTCAAAAGCCTGAATGCTTAACCAGCCAAAAGCTTCTAGTTTCTGGTCCTCACGCCTTATATATCTTTCTGCTTTCTACCACCACTCCCTGGGATTAAAGGCTGGCTTTCTGGGATTAAAGGCGTGTCACCATGCTTGGCTATTTCCAATGTGGCCTTGAACTCACAGAGATCACAGGGATTTCTATCTCTGGAATGCTAGGATTAAAGGTGTGAGTGCCACCATTTTCTAGCCTTTGTGTCTAGTGGCTGTCTGTTCTCAGACCCCAGATAAATTTATTAGAGTACACAATATTTTGGGGAACACAATACCATCATAAAGTTTCCCCGAGCTCATGCCTCACAGGAAAGTAGGACTTGGCCTGGTGAGAGGGAGTGAAGAAAATATTCCTGGCGGAGAGCGCAGCAGGCACATTCCTGCTGCTGCACCTCAGGCCCTGTGTGCGGACTGGATAAGTAGTTGGGTATTTCTCTTGTAGGTGGGCACTTGGTCCAGAGGTTGAATTGCATCTGGGAGCTGGAAGTTAGTTGGACTTTGGGTGTCCAAAATTATTTGCTGTTGCCTGGCAGTGGTGGCGCACACCTTTAATCCCAGCACTCGGGAGGCAGAGCCAGTCGAATCTCTGTGAGTTTGAGGCCAGCCTGGTCTACAGAGCGAGATCAAGGTCAGGCACCAAAACTACACAGAGAAACCCTGTATCGAAAAACCAATCTCTCCCCCGCAAAAAAAACCTATTTGCTGTTGTATGGTTCATGTCCTATGGACAGCACCTGTGTGGACAAAGAACCTTATCTAATGGAAGAATCTGTCTTGAAAACTTTGTTGAGTGACTGGGTGTAGTGGTGCACGCCTTTAATCCCAGCACTCTGGAGGCCGAGGCAGGTGGATCTCTGTGAGTTCGAGGCCAGCCTCGCTTACAGAGTGACATCCAGGGCGGCCAGGGCTGTCTTCAAAGTGTGGGGTCTGGACCAATGGTAGAGTCTCACTGACACCTTGTTAGAATGTAAATGATCAGGCCCACACCACAGACCCACCAAAGTAAGAGTCTCTCAGGGGAACCCAGGAGTTTGTCCTTGAGGACATTGTGATGCACACTGAAGTTTGAGAAATGTCATAGGACAGAATTAGTAGCTGCCATGTGCCGTGGGAACCCCCCTCTGGGAGGTGTGGGGATGGACACGAAGGATTGTCTAGACAGATGGAAGAGTGGAGACCAGGCTTGGGAAGATGGCTGAAGCTTGGTTGCTGATGCTGTTGATTTTGAGTTCAGGGAGGAACTTGGACAAAAAGTACCAGGGCCCAGGGATGCTACTTGTTAATGTGGGGACTTCTTGTTACTCAGAGGGACCGCTTCTTACGGAGGGGGGCTGCTTGTTACCCAGGAGGACCGATTGTTACCAGGGGACTGCTTGTTCTGGGGAGACTGCTTGTTACTGAAGGGGGTGCTTGTTACCCAGCAGCTTGGAAGACTGTTACTGAGAAGACCTTTGTCCACAGTTGGGATTAGTCTAGGTAACAGAATTCCTTTTTCCTAAAATCAGTTACAAAATCTTGTTTTTTTTTTTTTTTTTTTTTTTTTGGTTTTTCGAGACAGGGTTTCTCTGTGTAGCTTTGCGCCTTTCCTGGAGCTCACTTGGTAGCCCAGGCTGGCCTCGAACTCACAGAGATCCGCCTGGCTCTGCCTCCCGAGTGCTGGGATTAAAGGCGTGCGCCACCACCGCCCGGCCCAAAATCTTGTTTATTTTAAATAAACACTATTGTTCCGCTTGCTTTAGTAAACTTTTTCAGAAAATTCAGAATTATAGGCAGTGCAAAGTATAGAAGTATATAGCCCAAGTATAGATCATATAGCCATGCTTCAAAAGTGTCTAACTCAATTGGCAATTAACAATAGTCAATTAATGCTAAGAAACATCTCCTTGTGAGGTGCTGTAGGAGGGGCCAATGAACGGAAGGTGTCATTGTTGCCCTTTGGGCATTGATTCAGATCAGAGGAATGCATGTGAGAAGAAACAGTGTGGCAGAGGAATGACAGACAGACAGTGAGCACTGCAGATGTTCCGAGGAGGGGGAGGTAGCAGGTCTGTAGTACAGCAGCTGCCCGTGACTCACAGCATGGGAAGCGTCTTTTCCACTCTCAGTACCCTGAGGGCTTTTCCTCCTTTCACATTTCAGAAGGCTGGTAGAGATTGAAAGCTTGTATTTACAGTCTTCATTGTTGGGTGCGATTGTTGCATAATACATTGGCACTTTACACGAAAGACACATTAGCTGTATTGTAACATTCACGGTGAGGCAGATGGATCTCACACACTGTCCAATGGGAGGTGCATACTGGATGGCCCTCGGTGTAAGTAGCTAGCAGAAGAGTATCAGTAATAAGAACAAATTAAGTTTGACTCTTTCGACAATTAGGAAATCACCAGTTATTGTGATTCCCAATTGGAAATTTCCACTTGTTAGGAAAAAGCAAGTGATTGATTTACAGGAAATCTTTACATTTGATAATGCTGCATCATTTTCTTACAAGTTTTCCTCCTGACTCTGATACAGCAAACAAATGAAATAATCACTAGTTGGTTAGTCGGGGATGGACTCTGGTTGTCTTGATGCTTTAGAGATGATTATGAGTCACCCTGGAAGTTAGTGAGGAAAGGAGATAAAATGTGTGTGCTCCTGAGCTGTGTTTCCCATCTTGACCATCTTCATTTTTCTGTGACTCGTGTGTAAACCTTCCTCTGGTTCTTGTTGGCAGTTTTCCCACTGTTGGCTGGAGTCTGTAGTTCTGTGTCCTTTCAGGGTGCGTGTGCCAGGTACTGCTAAAATTCTTGGGGCAGGAGGTGGAAGCAGCACTCCTGGGAGATTACTGAGCAAGGGGCAAGAAAATAACCCAGTTCTCCCTTTTCAGTTTTCTATCAATTTAAAGCTTTTAGCATTTTTTAAAAACCAAGGTCTTTATTACTATTATTCATAGGATAATGATGCTGAAACATGACCTTGTTGGAAAGATACCATCTTCAAAGGAGTTTGTCCTCCAAGAAGGGAAAACAGGGAACTGTTACTGTTCACTAACCAGGGTAGTGACGACAGAGTTGTCCTCCTTTGTTGGGTCTGTGTTCTTGCTCTGTGTCCTGAGCGTACACCATCTGTGGGTTTACTGATCAAAGTCTTGAGGATTTCTTGTGGTTGCACATATAATCCGGCTTTGTAGTTATTCTGTAGTAATTTGAAAAGAACTTGTACACTCTAGGCTATAACAAACTCAGGTTTGTTAATGGTTGATTAAAAGATGGTTTGTAATCTTTTTACTTTGACTATGTTAACTGTAGTAGTTCTTAGGGATAGTGGGTGATATTAATGGTCTGGAGCTTTCCTCTAAACTACCCTGTATGCTCAGTCTTCTCTGTCCTGACCACTGCCACCTCAGGAAGCTTTTCTTTGCCATTTGCTACAGTGTCTCTTCCTCCGTCTTCATATGTTCTGTGCTGTAACTTTGATGTTTGTTCTTAATAACTAGCACAGAGCATAGTTTTGCCTAGATGGGTAGTTGTTATTCTTTAACTTGAATGTGATAATTGTAGCACGAATCTTAAAAGATCTTATTAATAAAAACAAACCTGGAGCCAGTTATTGGGGTGAACGCTGAAAGATCAGAGAAACAGAACCAGCCACAGCTAACCTCACCTTACCAATTCCTCAGCTCATCTCATTTCCTCAAACTGGAAGCCTCTGAGTCCTAATCCAAATGGATCTCAGCTGAACTGCTGCTCCAAAGCCTAAAAGCTTAACCAGGCCTAGTTCCTGGTCCTCGCTTCTTATATACCTTTCTGTTTCCTGCCATCACTTCCTGGGATTAAAGGTGTGTGTCACCATGCCTGGCCGTTTCCAGTGTGGCTTTGAACTCACAGAGATCTGGATGGATCTCTGCCTTTGGAATGCTAGGATAAAAGGCATGTGTGCTACCATTTTCTGGTCGCTGTGTCTATCTAGTGGCTGTTCTGTTCTCTGACTCCAGATAAGTTTATTAGGATGCACAATATGTTGTGGGATACAATGTCACCACAGATAATTCAAATGAGATTTCTGAAGGAATTCCATCTAGGGTCTCAACACTTTATATCTTCCTAGTTCTTTGCCTCTTGATCTATCTTCGTTGTTACTGTTTTGTTTTTCAAAACAGAAGTTCTCTCTGTAGCCCTGGCTGTCCTGGAACTCTCTTTTTAGATCAGGCTGGCCTCACAGAAATCAGCCTGCCTCTGCCTCCTGAGTGCTGGGATTAAAGCCGTGTGCCACCACACCTGGTATCTTGGTCTATCTTATCAGTTAATTGGGAAGCAGAACTATATGGGCATGGGAACGTGTGTGTGTGTGTGTGTGTGTGTGTGTGAGT